AATGCTAATGTAGAATTTTTTCCAATTTTTCCGAAAATTTCCGTTAAAAAAAAAAAGCTGGAAAAAAATGGGTTTTTTTTCCCGAGCTTCAAAATTTCCGGAAATTTTACATCTCTATTTATACCCTGCCCTTCGCTCGGAGTCTCAGAGCAGCTTACAATCTTTTCCCCCTTCCCCTCCCCACAACAGGCACCCTGTGAGGCAGGTGGGGCTGAGAGAGCTCTTTCAAGGACTGCTCTTGAGAGAACAGCTGTGAGAGAGCTGTGGCTTGCCTAAGGTCACCCAGCAGCTGCATGTGGAGGAGTGGGGAATCAGACCCGGTTCTCCCAGGTTAGAGTCCACGCTCCTAACTGCCACACCCCACTGGGAGAGCAGGAGGCTGCCAGCCGCCTCCGGGCTTTCCTCTCATCCTCCTTAATGGCATCCCAGAGTGCAGCTAGGCTGGCCACAGACTGCCTGACCAGGGCAGGGGCAGGCTAGCAGCGAGGAGTGAAGGAATCCCTCCTGATTCTGAATGGAGGAATTCAGTACGTACAGTATGGTGGAGCTCTGGCTGAAGATGGGGCCTGCAGGGAGAGCAGATGTGCCAATCAAGGCGATTTCTTTATGCCAATAGGCCCGAGGCAGTCATGTGATGCTGCCCCCTCCCCATAAGAGCTTCTAGGCTAGGCTGGCTCTATGCTGTTAGCTGAGCAAATAAGAGACCTGCTTTCTTCACTGACCACCTTCCCCTTCACCCCCCCCCCCTCTGGATTTCTTTGTTCTTGCCTTGCCATGCCCTGAACTGTCCAGAAGCTGGGTCTGCCAAGAGGCTTCACTTCCATTTGGGATCAGGGTGGCACCACGGGCTTCACAGCCAGAAATGGGCAGCGAGACAGAGAGGGCACCGTGTCAGTGTCCTAGAAGACAACTCGGAAGTGTGGGGCAGGAAGGGAGGGAAGGTGGAAGAGTTTCAGAAATCAGGAGGCTTTGGGACAGCTGGGAGGGGCGGTGGCTGGAGGGGGAATAAGAGGTCACAGGGAAGGCTGCAGCTGGCTCACGGAGGGAGTTGGGACAACAGCTTGGTGAGCTAGAGAGACGAGGTGCAGGAGGAGGTAGCGGAGGGATCCGTGAAATGGCACCCCAGAGCAGGAGTCTTGTGAGCCAAAATTCTACTTTATGAGCTACCGGCATTAACATTGTGAGCGAGCGATTTTGCCTCTGCATCAATCAGTTTGCTCTGGAGCCCCCCTTCCTGAGCTCAGACAAAAATGTGTGAACCGGAGGCTAGAAAACTGTGAGCTGGCTCACCCCAACTCAGCTTAGCGGGAACACTGGCAGGGACATGTCCCGTTAGCGCAGCTGGCTTAAAAACAAAGAGCGAAAAGAGGCCTAGTGGCCGCCGCCCTTGTGACACAAGCATTTTAGCGGCGGCGCTGGCAGAAGGGTTAACATGCAATCCATTTTAATTCCCCCCCCCATTTATTTTTTATTGTTTTTCACCAATATAGAAAGGAACATAGGTAGATATAATGATATACATCAAGAACGAATCATAATATCAAAATCACTAAACACATTTTACCCTTATAGATTTGTTATAAAATATAAGATCAACAAATAATTTTTACCAAACTTTAAACTAGACTTATCGTAATAAGTGTATGTAATATGCTTTTAACTAATTTGTGTGATGTCTAAGAGTTGATGCAAGAATTCATAGGTAGTCAGTAAGGTGAATAAATTATAGAGGTATCGCTTATACAAAGCGTGCTTTATGAGTGCAAAAGAGTGAGATAGATTGGATTGTATGGCTGGCATTCTGCTTTTAGGATATATTCCAAGAATGGGAGCCATTTCTCATTAAAATTTGACTGTCTAGGATATATTTCAGATTGTTGCAATCGGTCAGTGATCTTCTCCATAATCTAGTGGTCCCAGATTTTATTAAACCAGTTGTTGCAATGTGGGGCATTAGGAGATTTCCATTTGGATGCAATTAGGTTTTTCTGCAGCAACCAAAAGGCTGCGTATGAGATCTTTTCTGATTTTTGGGATGTTCGCATTTTGCCAATTATATGCAATCCATTTTAATGACTGTCTGCGCCAATTGATTAGCTAAGAGGCAAGTGATAAGATTGATGGGGGAGGGTGGCATTAGCTGAGGTGGGCAAGAGAATCGCCCTGAGATTTCCGCAGAGGCAGCCTGGTTATTCCAGAGCAGAAGTGGGGGGGGTCGTGCGTTGATATCTGTTTGTTGGGGGGGGCATGTCTGGCTAACCATTGGCAAGATGGAATTTACCTAAAGTGGAAACAAAATTTGCATCCTTAGGCATACTGTAACCCCCCCACACACACACACAGATTGCTACAAACGGCACCTACATTTGCAAAAATCACATTGGGGGGTCATCCGTTCCTCCTGATTCACAGTGACTGCTGAAGGGAACGCTTCTGCATTCTTCCGTCCTTTCAGTGTGGAGGAACATGATACACCTCGGCGGTTGTTTACTGCTACAGGCCTGTGACATGTCGCCCGCGGCTCTTCAGAGCACGGTTCCCCAACGTGGCACCTCCTTCACGTGCCAAGCCATTTGCCCAGTGGGGGGGGAGTTGTGGTTGGCAGGTGGCTCCCACCTTGAAACAGCTGCTGCCGGAGGCACTGGAGAGCCACAGGTCCCGTGCTAAGGATGGAAGTAAAGGACTTGGAAAATCAGATGGATGCAGTCAAGATTGTAGTTATAATTGTTATAGCTTATTATGATGCTTTCGGAGGGTAGCCCTGTCGGTCTGCAGTAGAACAGCTAAATCCGAGTGCCCGGACCTGGAGAGCTCAGGCCAGCCTGATCCCGTCAGATCTCGGAAGCTAAGCAGGGTCGGCCTTGGCTAGTATTTGGAAGGGTGCCCTCCAAGTCTAGCTCGCCACCCAAGTCTAGGGCGCCCTCCAAGTCTAGCTCGCCAAGTCTAGCTCGCCGCCTAGTGGTGCGTAACACTAAAAAGAGCTAGAACTTGTGGCTGCCAGACAATCTTAGGATCTCCTGGCTGTACTACACACACTGCTATACGATGATGATGAGGAGGATAGCTAAATTTGAGTCTTTGTTGTTGTTCAGTCGCACAGTCGTGTCCGACTCTTCGCGACCCCATGGACCAGATCATGCCAGGCCTTCTAGCTAAATTTGAGTCTTTGTTGTTGTTCAGTCGCACAGTCGTGTCCGACTCTTCGCGACCCCATGGACCAGATCATGCCAGGCCTTCCGGTCTTCCGCCCTCTGAAGTTGGCTCAATTTCATGTTCGTTGCATCTCTGACACTGTCTAACCATCTCATCCTTTGCCGTCCCCGTCTTCTTTGACCTTCAGCCTTTCCCAGCACCAGGGTCTTCTCCAGTGAGTGCTCCCTTCTCATTTGGTGGCCAAAGTATTTGAGCTTCAGCTTCAGTCTCTGGCCTTCCAGGGAACAGTCGGGGTTGGTTTCTTGTAGGATTGGCTGATTTGATCTCCTTGCAGTCCGAGGGACTCTCAAGATTTGAGTCTAGCAGCACCTTAAAGACCAAGAAGATTTTCATGGCGCTCGAGAGTCAAAGCTCCCTTCATCAGCTATAAATTGGAATGGAGAACCTTCAGTCCTTACATCCCATTTCGGAAGGCGGGAGGAGTGTTGTAGATGCAGAGATGCAATGCACATTGTAGTCAACTTGCTCAGAGCAGTGAAGAAATGCTTCTGGGCAGAAAATTAGCATCTGTAGTGAGATAAGAATCCTGTTTCCCTGTTCAGCCCCTGGGGGTCCATTGTCCTGAATCTGTGACTGAAGATGAGTTCAGCCATCTCCCATTGTAATCTGCCCTTGAAGCTTCTCTGTTTGCGGTCTGCCCCTCTCAGGTCAGCAGTGGAATGACCAGCAAGATGAAAATAGTCTCCCACTATTTTGGGGGTGTTGTGATTTTTTTAATGTCACATTTATGTCCAGTACCTCTTAGTGCTACTGGACTCAAATCCAGCAAATATTATGTGTTTGGTGGGGTGACGCTCAGGGTGCACAGTCGTCATGTGGGTCTTTCAGCTGATGGTAACAGTGAATTTGGCTCTCTGCAACCCTTCAAGTGCGTACCACTGTTATAGCATCTCTGAATACTTGCAGGGGGTTGCTTCTTTGACTTACATACCCCCAGGGGTCATATAGTAGAAAAAGAGGTGCAGGAGCTCATTAGCATAACTCATTAGCATAACTTATCTGCATACGCCACACCCCCTGACGTCACCGGAAGTGTGTCAGAAGGCAACACCCACCGCTCAGGCTCCACTGGACTGTTTTGGATTGCTAGCTATGGAGGGGGGAACGTGCAGATCTGCCCTCACAGAGGAGGGAGAGCTTGTACCTGAAGGTGGGCAGGGGGGCCTCTGCAACTTACCTGGCTGCTTCTTGCTCCTCGTGGCCCAACTGAGGGCTGCTGGGAGCAGGGGGTGGGGCTTGTTGCGTGTGCCCGCCCCCTGGGCTCCTGACTGCCAGAGCTCCGCTCCTGTGCGCTCCTGCAGGAAATGACCCCTGCATACCCCATAACATTTTTATCCTTCCACACACTAAACATGTGTTGGGATGAGAGTTTAATTTTTCTGGCATCTCAGCTTCCCTTGAAAAAGGAAGAGGAAGTCACTAGCCCCTGTGGTTGCACAGATATCCTTGAAAGTGTGTGTGTGTGTGTGTGACACCTGCCGAAATCTCCAAAGTCAGGGGCAGGAAGGAGCTGAATAAAATTTTTCAAGGTTTAGGCATGGAATGAGATTACAGTGCTGTGAATCCATTCTAGACCTTCCCCACTGTTAGCAAAACCAATTGTGCAATTTTTTTCCTTAAAAAATGCAGACTTCTGTAAATTATGGCCTTTCTTGGCGCAAACTTTAGATTTCTTTTAAAATGCAGTATTTTGTTTTCTTTCTCAGCATGGATCGCAGACAGTCCTGTATACAGTATCAGTATGCACAAGTATCTTTTGAGCCACGGCTGGCTTGTCTGCATGTGTGTTTTAACCAGGGGTTGTTTCATAGAAAAAGAGCTAGGGGAACTCATTAGCGTAACTCATATGCCACACCCCCTGACCCTG